ACACCACAGTTCAAAAGCATCAATTCTTTGGTGCTCAGCTTTCTTTATAGTCCAACTCTCACATCCATACATGACTACTAGAAAAACCATAGCTTTGACTAGATGGACCTTTGTTAGCAAAGTAATGTCTTTGCTTTTTAATATGCTGTTTAGGTTTGTCATAGCTTTTCTTTCAAGGAGTAAGCGTCTTTTAATTTCATGGCTGCAGTCATTTGCAGTGATTTTGGAGCCCAAAAAAATAAAGTTTGTCAGTGTTTGCCATGAAGTGATGGGACCAGATGCCGTGATTTTAGTTTTCTGAATGTTGAGTTTTAAGCCAGCTTTTTCACTCTCTCACTTTCATCAAGAGGCTCTTCAGTTCCTTTTCACTTTCTGCGATGAGGCTGGTGTCATCTGCATATCTGAGGTTATTGATATTTCTCCCAGCAATTTTGATTCCAGCTTGTGCTTCATCCAGCTTGGCATTTCACATGATACTCTGCATGTAAGTTGAATAAGCACTTGACAGTATACAGCCTTACGTACTCCTTTCCCAATCTGGAACCAGTCTGTTGTTCCATGCCAGTTCTAACTGTTGCTTCTTGACCTACGTACAGGTTTCTCAGGAGACAGGTAAGGTGGTCTGATAGTCCCATCTCTTGAAGAATTTTCCACAGTTTATTGTGATCTACACAGTCAAAGGCTTTGGCGTGATCAATAAAGCAGAAGTAGCGCTTTAGTAGGTTTGGGTAATTATTGGGGCTTTTCTGGTGGCTGAAACGATAATGATGCTGCCTGCAATGCAGGAGGTCCAGTTTTGATTCCTGAGTCAGGAGGATCCCCTGGAGGAGGGCATGGCACCACACTCCAGCATCCTTGCCTGGAAAATCCCATGGACAGAGGAGCCTGGTGGGCTATAGTCCATGCCGTCGAAAAGAACTGGATATAACTGAGCAACTACGCGTTCACGCTTTGGTAATTATTGGGCTTCCCTGGTGGCTTAGATGGGAAAGAATCTGCCTGCAATGCAGCAGACCTGGGTTCAGTCCCTGGGTTAGGAAGATTTTCCTGGAGAAGGAAATGGCAACCCACTCCAGTATTCTTGTCTGGAGAATCCCATTGACAGAGGGAGCCTGTTGGGATACAGTTCATGGGGTGGCAAAGAGTTGAACACAACTGGTCAGCTTTCACTTTTCATTTCACTTTGTTAATTATACTTTGTAGGAATTTGTTGATTTCATCTAAAATTTTCATTTTTATTGGCATAAATTTGTGATGTCTTCAGTTCTGTGGAATCTGTAGTGATGTCTCATTTCTGAAACTGGTTGTGTTTTCTGTTTTTTTTTTTTTTAGCGTTTTATTAGATCTTTCAAAGAACCAACTTTTAGCTTTGTGTATCCTTTTTCTTATAAGTTTGTTTTCAGTCATTGGTTTTTCCTTTCTTTTGAGTTATTTTGCTAATTTTCATCATTTCTTTTTTAATATGTGAATTAAAGATTATATTATTTTTAGCTGTATCCTACAAATTATGTTTATGGCAGAAAGTGAAGAGGAACTAAAAAGCCTCTTGATGAAAGTGAAAGAGGAGAGTGAAAAAGTTGGCTTAAAGCTCAACATTCAGAAAACTAAGATCATGGCATCTGGTCCCATCACTTCATGGGAAATAGATGGGGAAACAGTGTCAGACTGTTTTTTGGGCTCCAAAACCACTGCAGATGGAGATTGCAGCCATGAAATTAAATGACGTTTACTGCTTGGAAGGAAAGTTATGACCAACCTAGAGAGCATATTAAAAAGCAGAGACATTACTTTGCCAACAAAGGTTCTTCGAGTCAAGGCTATAGTTTTTCCAGTGGTCACGTATGGATGTGAGTTGAACTGTGAAGAAAGCTGAGCACTGAAAAATTGACGCTTTTGAACTGTGGTGTTGGAGGAGACTCTTGAGAGTCCCTTGGACTGCAAGGAGATCCAAGCAGTCCTTCTTAAAGGAGATCAGTCCTGGGTATTCATTTGAAGGACTGACGCTGAAGCTGAAACTCCAGTACTTTAGCCATGTCATGCGAAGAGTTGACTCATTGGAAAGGACCCTGATGCTGGGAGGGATTGCGGGCAGGAGGAGAAGGAGACGACAGAGGATGAGATGGCTAGATGGCATCACCAACTCGATGCGTGTGAGTTTGAGTAAGCTCCGGGAGTTGGTGATGGACAGGAAGGCCTGGCGTGCTGTGATTCATGGGGTCGCAAAGAGTCGGACACGACTGAGCGACTGAACTGAACAAATTATGTTATTGTCCATCAGCTAGGAGATGACTCAAGGTCACAGGAAGGGCATGGATCTGGGAGGCCAGGCTGTGGGTCCATTCTTTTTTGTCCTTTGGGCAAGAAGTCTTACCTCCGAGCTCTTTTTCCATTGAACATGGTGACATAGTCATCACCAGTGAAGGGAGCTCTCATTTGTTTTTCAGTCACTAAGCCTGTCTGGCTCTTTGCGGCCCCGGGGACTGCAGCACGCCAGGCTCCTCTGTCCTCCACTGCCTCCCCGAGTTTGCTCAAACTCGTCCATTGAGTCATGATGCCATCCAACCTCCATCTTCTGTCGTTCTCTTCTCCTTCTGCCCTCAATCTTTCCCAGCATGAGGGTCGTTTCCAGTGAGTCAGCTTTTTGCATTAAGTGGCCAAAGTATTGGCACTTCAGCATCTGTCCTTCCAATGAATATTCAGGACTGATTTCCTTTAGGATTGACTAGTTTGATCTCTTTGCAGTCCAAGCGACTTTCAAGAGTCTTCTCCAACACCACAGTTCAAAAACATCATATTCTTTGGCGCTCAGCCTTCTTTATGGTTCAACTTTCACATCCATACATGACTACTGGAAAAACCATGGCTTTGATTATGCAGACCTTTGTCGGCAAAGTAATATCTCTGCTTTCCATGTGGTTTTTGGTTTACTTTGCTCAGATCCATCAGAGAAAGTACTGTTTATGGCAGCTGTAGGGTTAGAAATATATTTCTTAAATTACAAGACTTGAAAGTTGAAATGACTCCTTGAGCCATGGGCTGCAGGATGTTGTGTTACTTGGCAAGAAAACAGCATTTGTCTCGTTGTCCATCTCCATCAGAGCTCTTGGATGATTGGGTTCATTGTCAGTGAGAGGGAGTGTTTTGAACAAAATCTTTTTCTGAGCAGTATGTGTCAGTTTATGATGTGGTGACGAGATGTGCTGCCATTCAGGCTTTGTTGTTCTGCTTATGGCACACAGGCAGAGTGGGTTGATTAAGCACCATTTTTAGGGGCTGTAGAGTTTCTGGAATGGTAAACGAGCATTGACTTCAACCAGCCATTTAAGCTCCTAATGAGGGAGTCAGTCTGTCCTTCGAAGCTTTAAAGCCAGGCGTTGACTTCTCTAGCGACGGAAGTCCTGAATGGCATCTCCTTCCAAGAGAGGCTTTGTCATACACTGAAACCTGTTGTTTAGTGTAGCCACCCACATTAGTGATCTTGGCTGGCTCTTTTGGGTAACTCGTTGCAGCTTCTACATCAGCAGTTGCAGCTTCACATTTGCACTCTGATGTGCCAGAGACAGCATCTTTCCTTTGACCTTGGGATCCAGCCCCTGCCAGCTTCACACTGTGCAGCTTCCTCCCCTCTCCGTTCTCACGGAGTTGAAGAGGTTGGGGTCTTGCTCTGCCTTGGGCTTTGGTTTATGGAAACACTGTGGCTGGTTGGATCTTCCGTCCAGTCCAACTCCGACTTTCACCCTGTCAGCAGTAAGCCTGTTCACTTTCTTATCGTTGTGCATTTACTGGAGGAGCACTTCACATTTCCTTGAGGAACTTTTCCTTTGCATTCACAAGCCAACTAATTGGTGCAAGAGGCCGAGCTTTTGGCCTGTCTTAACCTTTGAAGTGCCTTCCTCACTAAGCTTCGTCATTTCTAGGTTGGGATTTAAAGGGAGACATGCAGCTCTTCTTTCGCTTCAACACTGCAAGGCCGTTGTAAGGTGACTGATGGGCCTATATTCAGTATTGTGTCTAGGATGTAGGGAGGCTGAAGAAGAGGGAGGGAGTCATGGGACAGTTGGTCTGTGGAACAGTCAGAGTGTATATTTATCACTTAAGATCATCATCTTATATTGGTGAGGTTCGTGATGCCCCAAAACAATTAGGGTAGTTATATCAGAAATCACTGATTAGATAGAGCCGTGGTGACTATAGCAACAATGAGAAAGTTTGAGATGCTGTGAGAATTGCTGGACGCTGACACAGACACGAAGTGAGCAGATGCTGTTGGGAACAGTGGGGGCAGGGGACGTCAGCGTGTCAGAACCACAGCGCGTGCCAAGCGAGAGGAGGCCGCTGGGTCCTCCCTGCTGGTCTCTGCCCGCCTCCAGCACAGGGCCGGGTTGGTCTCAGTCCGTGGCGTGCGCTGCTCTCAGGGTCCCTGCCTGACCTCCTCTGGTCGGTAAAGCATGAAGCCTGCAAAGCCTTCTCCCAGTAAGGCCCCGTCTCTGGCAGTAGCCTGTGTGGCAGGTGGTGGGCTGCAGGCCCCTGGTGCCCTTGGCGGTGTGGCACTGGGGCCTCTGTTTGAGAAAAGGCCGTGGGCAGCTCCGGGAGGGTGAGTGGTACGCCCGCCCACGCAGCTCCCGGGGCCCTCAGCACCGGGCGCCGGGCTCAGCCACTCCGGCCTGGCTGCTCCCCTGAGGATCCCGCATGGGAACCAGACGTACCAGCCTGATTGTTGAAAGAGTGTTAAAGAGTGCAGAATATCCTATGTCAAGTTAACTGTGTCTTTCTCTTCTGTTTTTCTCATGTTTCCAAGATTGTTGAAGGTGAGTGATCTCCCTCCCTCCTTGGGTTTGGCCGAGGGCTGGAACACCCCCTGGGGCAGCCCTGCCTGCTGCGGGGACTCACCTCGCCTCTGCTCGCAGAAGGGTTGGGGGCTCCTCCTGGGAAGACGGGAGGCTGGTCCCGAGGCGGGTGGGGCTGAGAGGCCCTTCCTTGAACGAGGACTCGCACCTTAGAGAGGAGGCGGCCGAGGAGGAACGGCCGGCGGCTGCGCCAGGACCACGCGGATAGCTGTGTAGTGAGCAGTGACGAGGAGGAGCTGGCCCGGGACAAGGACGTGTATGTGACCACCCACTCCCCCAGGAGCGCCAGGGAGGAGGCAGCTGTGGGCCTCAGGTACCAGGGGCCGTGCTGGGGGCAGGCTGTCTGCCAGGCAGCCTCTGGACACATGGGCCCTTGTCCCCGGAGTGAGCATCCCTTCTTCCTCCAGTTTCCAGTGAAGAGGTTGGGCGGAGGCAGGGTGTTAGAAATCCTGGCCCCTCAGCAAATGCTTCAATCCTGGGCTCAGGAAGGGCTTGTTGAAGCGTCTGGGTGGTGGGCGGATCCCAGGCTGGGCTCCACTGTTCCCCTTGTGACCTGACCAGGTGCACCAGGCACCGCCAGGGCGTGAGAGTAGCTGAGGGTGAGCCCCAGCACCCCCGCCTCCTGCAGCAGGAATGCTTGGAGGAAGGGGGTGCTCGGCCAGCCCCTGCCCCAGACAGGGAGGCTTCAAGGCGGACTCCCGTTGTCTGCACTTTCTCTTGCCCTCTCTTCCCCCCCTTTCTCCGAGGACCCCTGTGCCATGGGACTGCCAACCTCCCAAGTGCCTGGGCTGTGGCACTTGGGCATGAGACTGTGAGGAGGGGGCATGGGCGGCTTAGATGGAGCCACATAGCGTTAGGAACTGACCGTCCAGCTTGCTTCCCTGACGTGAGCTCTGTGCTTCTAGGCCCTCGGGCACCGTCAGCTGCCCCATCTGCATGGACGGGTACTCGGAGGTAAGCAGGCTCGGCTGCGTCTTCCCTGGTCCTGGCCTCAGGCTGCTTCAGTCAGGGAATGAGACGAGCGCTTCTCGGGTGGGCTTTTTTACGCCTGTCTTGCAGTCATGCTGGGGCTGGCACATGGCGTGGTGGACATCTGTGACGGAGGCCATGCCTTCTCTTCGGGCCGCACAGTCTTGGACTGTGGCCCCTTCATTCCCTGCACTGCCCTGTGCCAGTCCTGTGTGTTCCCTGCCCGGCCTCAGCAGACGGCTGCCAGTGTTTTCCATGGCCCTGGGCCCTCTGGCTCTGCCCTACTGCTGCCTGGGGTTCCTCAAGCCCCAGGGCTTCACCTTGGGCTCTCACTGCCCAAGGTTGGCTCCTGCCTGTTTTTTGGCTTCAGAGATGCCGCCAGTACCTGCCTGAGCCGCAGAGGAGCATCCTTAGTTCTCCAGACCCCCTCCCTGCTTTCCTGCTGCAGCCCCCGGCCCCTCCCCGCTCATTCGTCATCTTAGGAACAGGCGGGAGTGGACGCTGGGGCTCCGGCTGCTCCAGTACAAGATGTGACCTGAAGGCTGTCTGTATGTTTTCCAGATTGTGCAGAATGGACGTCTCATTGTTTCTACAGAGTGTGGCCACGTCTTCTGTAGCCAGTGCCTCCGTGATTCCCTGAAGAATGCTAACACTTGCCCAACTTGCAGGAAAAAGATGAGCCACAAACGGTACCACCCCATTTACATATGAAGTGCCGAGTGTTGCTCAGGAGACACAAGTGGACACAGAGCCTGGCGGGCTCTCTGTGCGCCTTACGTGGCTCGTCTGCCTCCCGTTTCTTGAGCTCAAAAAGACTTTCAGAATCAACGTCCAGTATGTAAACTGCTCTCTTGTTTCCAACCCCATCTTAGATCCTTTTGTTACCTCTAGTTGGATGCCGTGGAGCTGGAGCCAGGCCCCTCCCAGCCGGTCGACATCTCCTGGGTAGTCTGGTTCTAGGGTAGAGAGAGGGAGTCAGGCATGCTGGAAATGAGAAGCATGGTTCTAGCCTCTTTCAGAAGCTGCCCGTTTGCCAAGAAGTTTTCCCTGTTTGGAGAGTTTGCCCCATCTTCCTCCTGGTGGTGTCGTGGAGCACCAGCTCTGGTCAGAGAGCATGCAGGTCCGCCCAGCTCTCCTGGGCATGCTACCTCGTCCCAGGCATCTGCCCACCGCAGTGACAAGCCACACATGGTCCATCCAGTCTGAGGATCCCAGAATCAAGCGTGGCCCCAGAAAGACCAACCACTGGACTTTGTTTTCCATCCCTTGTGATTTAGAGGCCACCCATGAGTCCACCTACATCGATGTCAGAGGTTCCTGCAGATCACCAAGGCCTTGGCAGGGCAATCCCTAGTTTTCTAAGAACGAAATGTGCAATAAAGCCCGTTCTTTGCCTCCTTTTCAGCAGCCCAGGAGATGTAGCACTCTCAGTGTCCTTGGGGGGGCCTCGTGTCACCTGTGGAGCAGTGCCTGTGTTGCCCCGTCCTGCTCACCACCTGTTCTCAGGACCTGGACCCGTGCCCGAACTCACCTGGCGCAGGAGTCACAGTGGGGCAGGCACGTGGCCGGGTGTCCTCTTTTCTGATAAAAATCATCCCGTGTTTACCATAGGCCCTCTGGTCCTCAGTTCCCACTGCCTAACGTCTACTCAAGCATAGACCCGGGCGGTGGTGGCAGTAATTGTGGCCTTATCAGCTGCCCACGTCCATCCTGTTGGCCAAGTCACAGCCACTTGCGACTCAAAGCTCGGCTCTCCAGACTCAAGCTGGGCGCCACCACCCCCGCAACTGGCATTCATTTCAGAGGCTGCTCTTCTGGCCACTGGGCCTTGGTCCTTTGGGCTTCGATTGGATTTTGGTGGCAAAGTTCTGTGGCCCCTCCTCCCCAGGGGCCCAGATAACACCCTTCTGCTCAACTCCAGGTGTGAGAGCCTCTGGTCCTCACGGAGGTGGCAGAGTGGCCCGGGGGTGGCTCCTGGGGGAGAAGCCCTGCAGAGCCTGCTGCCTGCACCTCCACACCCTCCTTCCTCAGAGGGCTTCAAGCCAAACCCACAGCCTTCCGTGTGAAACAGCTTCAAGATGGAAGGGGGGGTCTCCTCTGGCGTTGCTAGCAATAACTGACCTTCAGTTTTTCCTTCTGGAGGAGCAGGGACTTAGCACAGAATTCACTTTAAACAGGGCCGAAGGAGTGTCCCTTCTCTGTGAAAGGATAATTCATGCTTCATTCTGACTTTATAACTGTTTGGCTCACTTCCAGTTGGTTTGATAAAAGTACTGTTTTCTCCTTACAGTCGAGGAAGGCAGGATATCAGTTCTCGTCAGCATGACGGGCACTGTCTGCCCTTTGAGTAGACACAGTGTCCCCATGAAGTTCCTTCAGGGCTTCATGGAACACTCCTTTTTTTTTTTCTTTTTTTTTTTTTTAAATGTTCTAACACTACCCAGACTTCAGAAGCCAGGACAACCATACAGCCAAAATCTCTTAGGCTTTATGCTTAAGGACAAATGGTTGATCATAAAAGTGGTGTTCCTTCATACTAAACTGGGGGAAAATGTTTAGTTTCTACTATTCAGAAATTGCAAAATAGGAAAAGTTGATACGGAAAAATCCCTTTCCCTCCCTCAGTGTACATAGTTCAGATCTTTCTTTGTTCCGTTTATAAACTTTATCCATGTCTGTCAGTCTGTTTTTGACTTCTCTGCTAGTGTTACAGGTGAAAATAAATCATTAACTTGAACCAGGTACCTTTTTCGTGCGTTCATTTACTCATCGGGATCCATTTCACCTCTCAACCCACACCCTTGTCCAAGGTACATGATTCCTGTCTGCCTCCAGCTTTGTGTATCTTGGGGCACACGTGTGTGGGAAGGTGGCTTGGTCATGTATGTACCAGCTTAGAAGCCAGCAGGTAAGAGGTCACTCTTGGTCGGAGCCGCGCGTCGAGCAGAATTTTAACTTCAGCCCCTAAGGAGTGAGGTGGACTGCGGGCTGTCTGCTCTGACTTGCCCGTGCCAGCCCAGGAGTGGAGCTCCGAGCAGCACGGACCTAGCGCGCCAGCCACCACACGCGGTTTGTCCTCCATGTGCGAACGGGGACCAGGAGGGCATGGTGTGCCTGTGAGTGCCTTGGGAAAGCTGAAAGGATGGATGGGCCTGAGGTCTCAGAGAGGAAGTGAGGGCAGAGCTGGCCTTCTGTGTGCCCTTCTCCATTCCTGTCTGGTGGTCCCGAGATGGAGCAGGCTCACGTGCTGGAGGCCTGGGGCTCGGGCACACGACTGGTGAACTTCTGAGGCCTGCCTTCCGCAGGAGACCACCAGAGGCAAAAACTTGTTCAGTCGCGTAGTCTAGGTAGGGCAAAGAGGAACGGCTCCTGAGGGCAGAGCTCAGGCCCACACCTTCCCGGGGTACGGGCCTCCCAAGACCTGAAGCTCTGACTGACCCCACACTTCCTGGGTGGCCACCACAACCCAGCAGTGGTCCTGAAGCCAGGATCCAGGAGGCCTCCGTCCTCGGCAGGCCCTGGGAGGAGAGGAGCGTCCTGTGAGAGGGTTAGCAGCGGGGCCCCCAAAGCCGTCTACTGAAGGGGCTTGTTTGTAGGTTTCTTACTTTTGAAACTTAAGTTGTGTTTTAACTACATTTTCCTGTTGTTTGCACATGGTGCTTTTTGTATATTGTGTAAGCATCCTTGCCAAAGCTTTATTCTGGTAAGTCTCTGGGTTCTATTGAATCCTTTACATTCACAGCCATATCATTTTCAGTGACTTGGTCTAATTCTTGGAACATTCTCTTTCTTGCTCGACTTGTAAGAGAGTCAGCAAGAAAGGAAGGTTCCTTTTCCAAGCATGAGGTAAGAGTTTGTCTTTTATTTCTGTTTTATTTGTCCACAATGGATGTATGTCCTTATTGATTCTTTTTCTCCTGTACTGGGATACAGGATATTTTCCCACTTGAGATCAGTTAATACTATGTTTCACATTAATTTTTTTTTCAGTGTATACCAGGTTTGCATTTCTTTGGTAAATCCACTTTGTTCATGATTTATTGACTTAACACGTTTCTTTCTTTTGCCACTATTTGGTTTTGTTGTTCAGTCACTCATTTGTGTCCGACTCTTTGCGACCCCATGGACTGCAGCACGCAAGGCTTCCCTGTCCATCACCAACTCTGGGAGCTTGCTCAAACTCAAGTCCATTGAGTCAGTGATGCCATCCAACCATCTCATTCTTTGTTGTCCTCTTCTCCCGCCTTCAGTCTTTCCCAGTGTTAGGGTCTTTTCCAATGAGTCAGCTCTTTTGCATCAGGTGGCCAGAGTATTAAGAGCTTCAGCATCAGTCCTTCCAATGAATATTCGGGACTGATTTCCTTTAGGATGGACTGGTTGGATCTCCTTGCAGTCCAAGGGACTCTCAAGAGTCTTCTCCAACACCACAGTTCAAAAGCATCCATTCTTTGATGCTCAGCTTTCTTCATGGTGCAACTCACATCCATGCATGACCACTGGAAAAACCATAGCTTTGACTATTTGGACCTCTGTCGACAAAGGGATGTCTCTGCTTTTTAATAACCTTTCTAGGTTGGTCATAGCTTTTCTTCCAAGGAGCAAGTGTCTTTTAATTTCATGGCTGCAGTCACCATCCACAGTGATTTTGGAGCCCAAGAAAGTAAAGTCTTTTCACTGTTCTCATTGTTTCTCCCATCTGTTTGCCATGAAGTGATGGGACCGGATGCTGTGATCTTCGCTTTTTGAATATTGAGTTTTAAACCAGATTTTTCACTCTCCTCTTTCACTTTCATCAAGAGGCTCTTTAGTTCCTCTTCACTTTCTGCTATAAGGGTGGTGTCATCTGCATAGCTGAGGTTATTGATATCTCTCCTGGCAGTCTTGATTCCAGCTTGTGCTTCATCCAGCCTGGCATTTCACATGATGTACTCTGCGTAGAAGTTAAATAAGCAGGATGACAATATACAGTCTTGACATACTTTTTCCCCAATATGGAAGCAGTCTGCTGTTCCATGTCCAGTTCTAACTGTTGCTTCTTGACGTGCATACAGATTCCGCAGGAGGCAGGTAAGGTGGTCTGGTATTCCAGTCTCTTTAAGAATTTTCCACAACTTGTGATCCACGCAGTCAAAGACTTTAGTCAGTGAAGCAGAAAGTAGTTGCTCAGCTGTGTCCAACTCTTTGCAACCCTACGGACTGTGGCCTGCCAGACTCTGTCCCCGGGATTTTCCAGGCAAGAATACTGGAGTGGGCTGCCATTTCCTTCTCCAGGGGATCTTCTGAACCTAGGACTCAAACTCAAGTCTTCTGCATTGCGGGCAGACTCTGGTGGCTCAGCTGGTAAAGAATCCACCTGCAGTGGGCAAGACCTGGGTTTGATCCCTGGGTTGGGAAGATCCCCTGGAGAAGGGCATGGTAACCCCCTCCAGTATTCTGGCCTAGAGAATCCCATGGACTGTATAGTCCATGGGGTCGCAAAGGGTTGAACATGACTGAGCGACTTTCACTTCACTTTGGTGAAGCAGAAGTAGATATTCTTCTGGAATTCTCTTGCTTTTTCTATGATCCAAATGTTTGGTTTAGGGTTTTTTTGTTTTGTTTTGTTTTTGGTTTAGGGTTTTTAAAAATACATGCTCACAAGTTACATTGACCTATCAAGGAAAGATTTTGAAACGCAGATTTCTTTTTCTGCCTCTGCTGTTTCTTAGTTGGGGCATGCGGGCTCTCGTTCTCTAATCGGCTGTGAAACCTGCTTTGGGAGCATGGAGTCTTAACCACTGGACCACAAGTGGAGACCCCTTTTTTTTTTTTTTTAATGTTTCTGAATTATTCATATTTAAAATCAGTTACAGGTTTCTACGAATTGTGTATTTCATCTTTCTGTAAGAGTTTGGTATCAAGTTCAAAATATTCTCTTGTAAACTAGTTTCTGCAGCACCTTTTTATCATATACTAATTTATGCTTTCCCTTTATTTTAAATAAGTTTTCTTAGAGATTTGTCAGTTCCACATTTATGTTGATTCCAGTACCCACAGTTTTTGTGGATCTAATTCTGAGGCCTTTTATTCCTGCTGGCTCTAATAGTGACATCCTTTTCGGTAGGTTTTGTGAACTTTTTTCTCCCTTACATTGAACCCATTTAACTTGGTGTACTATCTGAAAATTCTTTGAGATCTAGATTGAAGGTGGATTCCTCCAGAAGTATTCATCCTTGCTTTTTTTGTTTTTAACCCCTTTTTTCTTTTTATTTTTTTTATTGAAGGATAATTGCTTTACAGAATTTTGTTGTTTTCTGTCAAACCTCAACATGAATTAGCCATAGGTGTGTGTATATATATCCCCTTCCCTTTGAACCTCCCTCCCTGTTTTTAACCCTTGCTTTTATGAAATGTTTATGGTTGTTAAATGTTTAAGGTTTTTACTCAAGGCCTTTTATACTGTGAAATATGGACTTCCTAGGTGGCACTAGTGGCAAAAAGAAAAAACAGCCTGCCAACGCAGAAGTCATAAGAGACGCGGGTTTGATTTCTGGTTCTGGAAGAGCCCCTGGAGAAAGCCATGGCAGCCCACTCCAGTAATCTTGCCTGGAGAATCCGTGGACAGTGGAGCCTGGCAGGCTACAGTCCATGGGGTTGCACAGAGTCAGACACGACTGAAGCAACTTAGCATGCACTGTGAAATAGAGAATAGAAAGAGCATACCTTAGACTTCCCTGGTAGTCCAGTGGTTAAGAATCTGATTGTCAATTGAGGGGACCCAGGTTCAGTAGCTGGTTGGGGAAGGTTCCACATGCTGGGGAGCAGCAAAGCCCGTGGGCCACAACTACTGAGCCTACTCTCCACAACAAGAGAAACCACTGCAATGAGAAGCCCCCGCTCTGCAGCCAGAGACAGCTGTTTGCCACGACTAGAGAAAGTCCACACACAGCAACGAAGATGCAGTGCAGCTAAAATTAAATTTAAAAAGTTCCAAAGCATATTTCATGGTACAGTTTAGTGAATTACCATAAAGCAAATGTTCATGAAACAACCAACTGCAAGAAGAAACTTAATTAACACCTTAGAAGCCCCTTCCTGTCCTCTCTCCCAGTCAGTTTTTATAATGCTGAGTTTCAAGCCAGCCTTTTCACTCTTTCACCTCATCAAGAGACTGTTCAGTTCCTCTTTGCTTTCTGCCATTTAGAGTGGTATCATATGCATATCTGAGGTTGTTGATATTTCTCCCAGCAATCTTGATTTCAGATTGTGGTTCATTCAGTCTGGCATTTTGCATGATGTACTCTGTGTATATTGTAAATAGAGTGACAATATGCAGCCCTGACATACTCCTTTCCCAATTTTGAACCAGTTCTTTGTTCCATGTTTGTTTCTAACTGTTGCTTTTTTATCTGCTCAGAGGGATATTCATAGCTATAACTTTCTACATTCCAAGATAAAATCAATAAGCTAATTGGATGCCTTAAGGAACTCGAAAAAGAACAAGCTAAACCTAAAGCTAGCAGATGGAAAGCAATAGAAGAGAATGAAGCAGAGATACGAAATTGAGACTAGAAAACAATAGAGGAAAGAACAGACACTAAAAGTTAAGCAAGGCCCTGCCCACCAGAGCAAGAGGCAGTTTTTCCCATAGCCAGTCCCTCCTACCAGGAAGCCTACAAAAGCCTTTTAGCCTCATCTGTCAGAGGGCAGACAGAAAAAGAAGAAGCACAATCCCAGAGTGACTAAAACATAAACCATATTACAGAACATTAATCAAGATGAAAAGGAAGTTATGTCCCAGATGAAGGCACAAGATAAAATCCCAGGAAAAGAACTAAATGAGGTGGAGACAGGCAATGTTCCAGAAAAAGAATTCAGAATAATGATAGTGAAGATGATCCAGGATCTTGGGAAAACAGTGGAGAAGATGCAAGAAATGTTCACCAAAGACCTAGAAGAACTAAGGAACAAACAACCAGAGAGGAATAACATACTGGGAGGATCAACTGAATAACTGAGGCGGAAGAACTGATAAATGACCCAGAGGACAGAATGGTGGAGATCACTGCCACAGAACAGAATACGGAAAAAAGAATGAAAAGAAAATGAAGACAGCCTGAGAGACCTCTGAGACAACACTGAACACACCAACATTCGCATCATAGGGGTCCCAGGAGGAGAAGAAAGAGATCCTGAGAAATTATGTGAAGAGATAATTGCTGAGAACTTCCCAAACACGGGAAAGGAAAGAAACGACTCCAGGAAGCACAGAGTCCCAGGCGAGATAAACCCAAGGAGGAGCACACCAACCCATAGTAGTCAAAAGTGATGAAAGGGAAGAACTTGAAGCCAAGGACACTCTACCAGCAAGACTCCTTCCAATTTGATGGAGAGGTCAAAAGCTCTCCAGAGAAGCAAAAGGTAAGAGAATTCAGCACCACCAGACCAACTATACAACAAATGGCTAAAGGACCTTTTCTAGGCAGGAAGCACATGAGAAGGAAAAGACCTACAGAAAATAACCCCCAAACAGTTAAGAAAACGGTAATAGGACCATACATACTGGTAATTACCTTAAATGCACCGAACAAAAGACAGACTGGCTGTGTGGATGAAAACGTGTGTGTGTACAGTTCCATCACATCACTCTGCTTGATCCCCCAAATTGTATGTAGCTATTTTATATTGTTAGGTTAATCTTCTTCACATGATGGCTTGCACTTGTAATTTTCTTTTATTTTTTTGTTTGGCTATTGATTGTGAAAACTGATAAACATCTTTACATCTTTTACTATTGTGATTATGTAACTATTACTCACTTAATACCATTGTATCACGAATGGTCAACAGAAAAATAATAGAATTCTGTATCACCGAAACTACCGTTTAATAGGAAAACTTGCAACCACTTTTTAAAATCCAAATGGGTATCAGAATTATCTTGCAATTTTAGAAAAATTCAAATGCTCAAGTATTGCTTTTTTTCTCCGGATCTCCAGATGTTTCTAATGAGCAGTCATGTTTAAAAGCAACTGGACTATATGATGATCTTTGATCTAGTTTCACTTTTTCATATTCAGTGTTCCCATTTCATTTAGTTTATGTTTTCTAATTTCTCCATCTTTTTTTTTTTTGATGTTTTTTCTCAAGTCTTTATCAAATGTAGTAGAAAAGCTTTTGTATACCTATATAAAGATAGTATGTATAATATATATATGTTTTAGAAAACTTCCCAACTTTTGCCTAACTAAAAAATTTATGACGTTCTGATTCCACTTCTTTGACTTAGTATAAATAGAATGCTAGATTTCTAGTTAAGAAAAATAGATATGCAACAAAGGTTTTACTATATTATACAGGGAACTATAGTCAATTATCTTGTAATAACCTATAACATTTTCTATTATCTGAAAAATAATGTGTGTGTATGTACAAGTGAATCACCTTTCTGCGCACCTGAAGTGTTAAGTCAGCTACATTTCAATAAAATATATATTAGGCAAAAATAATAATAAAAACAGCAAAGTAAAAAACAAACCTTCAGCTAGGTTGATGCAAAAATAATTGCAGTTTTGCATTGTTGGACTTTGCTGTTTGATATTGGAACACATTCTTAAATGAGGCTATGTTATACATCATTTTAATGCACATTTGTCACTTTGTGTTTTTTTGCTAATATTACTTTTTATTTTATGTTTATTTTAGACTAGGAAAATGATATTAGACAAAAAGCAAATTAGAAATTTTCTTATTCAAGTTCAAAATGGGTCTAAAGCAGCAGAGGCAATTTGTGACATCAACAAAGCATTTGGCCCTGGAACTGCTAACAAACCTACAGTGCAGTTGTGTTTCAAGTTTTGCAAAGAAGAGAGCCTTAAAGACAAGGCATGCATGAAGTTGACGAGGACCTACTGAGAGGATTATGGAAGCTGATCCTCTTACAACTACATGAGAAGTTGCCAAAGAACTCAACACCAACCATTGTATGGTGATTGGGCATTTGAAGCAAATTGGAAGGTGAAAAAGGTTGGTAAGTGGCTGCCTCAAAAATCATCGTTCTGAAGTGTTGTCTTCTGTTATTCTACACAATAACGAACCATTTCTTGATTGGATTGTGATGTGTGATGAAAAGAAGTGGATTGTATGTGACCACTGCTGATGACTTAACGCTGGTTGGACCAAGAAGAAGCTCCCAAACACACTTTCTGAAGCCAAACTTGCACCACAAAGGTCATGATCACTATTTGGTGGTCTGCTGCCTGTCTGATCCACTACAGCTTTCTGAATCCTGGCAAAACCATTACATCTGAGAGGTACAGATGTAATGTACCTCAGCAAGTAATGTAATCTCGGCAAATCGATGATGCACCAAAAGTGCAACACTTGCAGCCAGCAGTGATCAACAGAATGGGCCTAACTCTCCTCCACAACAATGCCTGTTTGTGCATCACACAACCAATGCTTCAAAAATTGAACAAAGTGGGCTATGAAGTTTTGTCTCATCCACCATATTCACCTGATCTTTTGCCAACCTACCACCACCGCTTCAAAGCACCTTGACAACTTTCTGCACTGAAAATGCTTTCACAACCAGCAGGAGGCAGAAAATGCTTTCCAAGAGTTCTTTGAATCCCAAAGCATGGGTTTTTATGCTACAGGAATAAACAGACTGATTTCTTGTTGGCAAAAATATGTTGATTGTAATGGTGCCTATTTATAATGATTTAAAATTCATGGTCTGAAACCATAATTACTTTTCCACCAACCTATAGATTGACTTAAGAGCAAGAGAGAAGCCTCAAACTGCTTAAAACAATGGAACAGAGGATGCTACTGACCTTTACAGTAACACAGAGGGTTATAAGACTATGAACACCTCATGCCTACAAATTGGATAATGTTGATGAGATGGGCAAACTCCTAGAAACAAAGTTACATGTAGAGTTTCCTAAATAATACACAATACATAAAATTACAGTATGAATTCAGCAAAGTTGTGGGATACAAATTCACAAATCAATTGTATTTCTATGCCCTATCAGTTAATAATCTGAAAGGGAAATTAAGTTTCCCATAGCATCAAAAATAAAACACTTAAGAATAAATTAGCCAAGTAGGTATAAAATTTTTACACTTAGACTTTACTATAACAACACCACAAAAAAAAAAAAAAAAACACAGAACATTGCTGAAAGAAACATTTAAATAAATAGACATCCCATGCTGGTGGGTTGGAAGACAGTATTGCTAAGTTGGCAATACTACCCAAAACAACATAATACAGAATCAGTGCAATCCTTACCAAACCCAATGGCAGTCTTAATAGAAATGTATGGAATTTTAAAGAACTGAGGACAGATAAAATAATCTTGAAATAGAATTTGGAAGATTCACTTCCCAATTTGAAAACATTATAAAAGTACAAGGAATCAAAACAATGTGGTGCTGGCTTTTGGACAGACATAGAGACCAATGGAGTGAGACTGAGCCCTGAAATCCTCACTTCAGTGGCCAAGTGATTTTCATAAGGGTTTCAAGATCATGCAATGGAGGAGAAAGGTCTCTCTGATAAATGGTGCTTGGAAAATTGTATATTCTCATGCATGAGAATTGGAGTAGGAAATGGCCACCCAATCCAGTGATCTTGCCTGGAAAGTTCCATGAACAGAGGAGCCTGGTGGGCTACAGTCCATAGGATTGCAAAGAGTTGGAAATGACTGAAGAACTGAACATGTGCAAACAATGAACCTGGGTCTTTAAACCATAAGTAAAAATTAGTTTTAAAATGGATCAAATACATAGATTTAAGAACTAAAACTATAAAAATTCTTAGAAAACATAAATGCAAATATTCATGATTTTGGATTTGGCAAAGATTTCTCATATATAACATCAAAAAGGCAACAAAAGGAAAAATAAATTTGACTTCATTAAAATTTAAAACTTTTGTGCATCAAAGGATACTATTAGGAGATTGAAAAGACAACCCACAGAACAAGAGGAAATATTTGGAATTCACCCATCTGATTGGGGTCAAATAATCAGAATATATAAAGTGTTCCTACAACTCAAAAAGAACAAAAAATCAGCCTAATTCAAAAATTGGTAAAGTACTAAAATAGATATTTCTCCAAAGAAAACATACAAATAACCAATAAGCCCATGAACTCAACATCATTAGTCATGAGTAAAATGTTCATCAAAACTACAGATACCACTTCACAGCCATTAGAATGGCTGTTCTCAAAAATACAGAAAACAAGTGTGAGGATGCAGAAATTGCAAGCCTTGTGCATAACTGCTAGAAATATAAAGTTATAAAGCTGATCTAGAAAACAGTTTGCTGGTTCCTGAAAAAGTTATAGATAGAATTTCTGTATGATACAAAATTTTCACTCCTAGATTAATACCCAAAAGAATTTAAAACGGACTAAGGTATTTGTATATCAATGTTCATAGCAACATTATTCACAGCCAAAAGGTAGAAAGAACCCAAATGTCCATCCACATATGAATGGATAAAGTGTGGTAAAGACACGCAATGGAACAGTATTCAGCCTGAAGAAAGAATGAAATTCAGATGCATACTTTCAACATGGACTAACGATAACATGCTAAAGAAATAAGCTACACACAAAAGTACAACTACTATGATTCCAGTTACATGAGGTACTTAGAATAGACAAATTCATAGATGCAGAAAGTGGAGTAGAGGTTAACAAAGCCTTGGGATATTCACTGGGTAGTTGATGTTTGAGATGGTGAAACATTCTGGAAAAGGATAATGGTGATAGCTGTACAGAATTCTTTAGTCGCTCAGTTGTGTCTGACTCTCTGCAACCCCATGAATCACAGCACGCCAGGCCTCCCTGTCCATTACCAACTCCCAGACTCCACCCAAACCCATGTCCATTGAGTCGGTGATGCCATCCAACTGTCTCATCCTCTGTCGTCCCCTTCTCCTCCTGCCCTCAATCTTTCCCGGCATCAGCGTCTTTTCAAATGAGTCAGCTCTTCGCATCAGGTGGCCAAAGTATTGGGAGTTTCAGCTTCAGCATCTGTCCTTCCAATGAATACCCAGGACTGATCTCCTTTAGGATGGACTGCTTGGATCTCCTTGCAATCCAAGGGACTCTCAAGAGTCTTCTCCAACACCACAGTCCAAAAGCATCAATTCTTCGGTGCTCAGTTTTCTTCACAGTTCAACTCTCACATCCATACATGACTACTGGAAAAACCATAGCCTTGAGTAGATGGACCTTTGTTGGCAAAGTAATGTCTCTGCTTTTTAATATGCTCTCTAGGTTGGTCATAACTTTCCTTCCAAGGAGTAAGCATCTTTTAATTTCTTGGCTACAATCACCATCTGTAGTGATTTTGGAGCCCAGAAAAATAAAATCTGACACTGTTTCCAGTGTTTCCCCATCTATTTCCCATGAAGTAATGGGACCAGATACCATAATCTTTGCTTTTCGAATGTTGAGTTTTAAGCCAGCTTTTACACTCCCCTCTTTCATTTTATTAAGAGGCTCTTTAGTTCTTCTTCACTTTCTGCCATAAGGGTGGTGTCATCTGCATATCTGAGGTTATCGATATTTCTCCTGGCAATCTTGATTCCAGCTTGTGCTTCCTCCAGCCCAGTGTTTCTCATGATGTACTCTGCATATAAGTTAAATAAGCAGGGTGACAATATACAG